AGGCCAACAGTGGTGTTATGTACACATGTATATTGTTGTTAGGCCAACAGTGGTGTTTATGTACACATGTATATTGTTGTTAGGCCAACAGTGGTGCTTATGTACACATGTATATTGTTGTTAGGCCAACAGTGGTGTTTATGTATACATGTATATTGTTGTTAGGCCAACAGTGGTGTTTATGTATACATGTATATTGTTGTTAGGCCAACAGTGGTGTTTATGTATACATGTATATTGTTGTTAGGCCAACAGTGGTGTTTATGTATACACGTATATTGTTGTTAGGCCAACAGTGGTGTTTATGTAGACATGTATATTGTTGTTAGGCCAACAGTGGTGTTTATGTAGACATGTATATTGTTGTTAGGCCAACAGTGGTGTTTATGTATACATGTATATTGTTGTTAGGCCAACAGTGGTGTTTATGTATACATGTATATTGTTGTTAGGCCAACAGTGGTGTTTATGTATACATGGTGTTGTTGTTTGGCCAACATTGGTGTTTATGTATACATGTATATTGTTGTTAGGCCAACAGTGGTGTTTATGTACACATGTATATTGTTGTTAGGCTATGAGAGAGGAAGTAGTATAACCAAAGCTTGCTGAAGGGAGTTTTTTACACAACTCCGACCTGTAATTTTTTTTTATGGATATGTCAGCTAGTATGTATGTGTGTGTGTGTGTGTGTGTGTGTGTGTGTGCGGGAGTGCATACACACACTTTTTAGACAGATGTTATACATGTTATTTTTTGAATTTTCAGCAAAAGAAATTTTTGACTTGTGCAACAATTTGTAATAAAAAATAAACAAATTGGTTTTTTAGACTTTTTCCCGTATAATATATTAAATGTTTCAGGTTCATCCTATATTTTATCATAGCCCTTCCCATATTAATGTCCAAATTTTGTTGATTCCCACCCTACTACATACACCTAAACTCATCAATGATTTAAAATATTACTGTTTTTTATATCTTGAAAATAAGAATTTTCGACTGTAGGTACTAAAGTCTGTTTTTTTTATTAGATATAACTGAAGAGGATAAACATGAGTAAGAAAGGAAACAAGCAAGAAAAAGGAATGTTGACAGTTTAGAAAGAGTAACAAGTTCCAGAGAAAGGTGCAGCCATTCCCTGATGTTATCAAATAAAAGATTCGAAGATGAGAAGAAAAAGATGCCAGAACCAGGCAGCTGTCATAAAGGGTGTGACAGTTTTAAGCAGGAAACACCACAGATTTTCTAAGCCATCTCTGGTCTCAACCCTACCTCTACTGTAATTCGGGGTGGTTCATGTCTTGGGGGAGTGTAACGTACTTGCTGTTGTGAAGAATGGAGGCCATGGTGTCGCAGGCTACTGCTTCCAATCACCAAGTTGTTGGAGTTGTGATGATGTCGGCGTCTTGAGGATGGAGAAGGGGAAGGTCCTGGGCTGTTGTGACGACTTCCTCCTCCACCACCCACACCTGCTGTGGGCTGGATAAGAGTACCACCACTAACATTTGGACCTGTTGAAGAAAACAAACTAGAAATAAACCTTTCATAAGCATGTAGATGTCAACCATAAGCACCAGCAAACCATCCACATTTTCAATTACTGAAAGACAGTAGGGGCATAAGAGAGAGAGAGATTTATATATATTTAAGAGATGCATCCTACCATAAGTAAACTAAATAACATACATACAGCTATATGCAAAAAATATATTACAAACAGCTCAATAATCTGTTATACAGAAATAGTCTCTTATACCTTGAAATTTCCAAAACAGCTCACAAGCTTTTATAGAGTATTAAAAGTAGAAACTACAGAAACCAAAGTCATAAAGTTTTTAACCGAGTATAATCTACTAAATTAAGTAAACATTACAAAATAAATTAATGAAGTGAATATAATATTACGAATTTACAAATTTCAAAAAATTTGCTGTTACTGTATATATTAACACAGCATAAAGCTACTCATGAGCTATCTGTGCTAGCCCTCCCCGTTTAGAAGTGATAAGCTAGAAAGAAGGCAGCTAATACCCCCATGGCTGAAATGGCACGTTCAGTGGCAAGGTTTGAACCTGCAACCAGTAGACTGTGAGTTGAGTGTCCTAACAACCAGATCATGCCAGACCCATAAAGTAAGTAATTATCTAAATAACTTGACAATTCCTAACTAGCAAAGATCAACTGTTCTAATTTGATGTTAAGCCTTGTCTTCAGTGGCAAGGTTTGAACCTGCAACCAGTAGACTGGAGTTGAGTGTCCTAACAACCAGATCTGCCAGACCCATAAAGTAAGTTATCTGACAATTTGATCAACTTAATGTTAAGCCTTGTCTGTCACACTTTTCGACCCAGATTTTGACTTTAATTCTTTTTTTAAATGATAGGAAAAACATTTTTAAATCATAATTGTAATAAATTATTTCCACCATGATTGATAAAATAACAAACTATCAGCAGCAAAGTTTTATTGATATGCAACTAAACTCACCAATACCATGTGTATGATGCTGTTGAGGCGATAGAGAAGACAGATGAGAGTAAGTAACTACATTAGATTGAGAAGGACTGTGTTGGCTGTAGACCAAACCTGACTGATCTTCTACATCCAGTGGTGTGGCCAAAGGTGAGGGAAAGTGGAGATTGGTTAAATCTGGCAAGGAGCCAGTGTTGTTGGAAATTGGTACATGAATTAAATTGCTTTCTTCTTGTGAAGGATAAATGCTAGATAGAAAATATTTAACTTAATGCAACAAAACCACAGTGATGAAAATTGACAAAGAGGAAATTACTCAAGAAAGTAAACCTAAGAGCAACTTTTTTAAAATGAGGCACGTCCTTAAAGGAATTTATCACCCCCTGAAAACGAAAAACTATCTTATTCATCAAGTGCTTTATGGTAATAAGATTTTGTCACTGCTCTCAAATTACTCAAAAAAAAAACACTCCCACCATCGAAACAACATAAAAAAATTATAAATAAACAAAATAACACAAATGCTTTACCCTTAATGACATTTTTTTAATATGCACTGTTAGGGTTTCTTTCATACATTGCATTTACTTAAAACATTGAATAGAAAAAGATGCTCAAGAAATACTAAAAAAGTAATTTAAAAAAATCACTACAATTATTATAGTTTCTATAAATAATAATAATTTTAATCTTTAAAATCAAAATGTAACTTTATTTTACAAAAGGTCTTTTATATATATTGGTAATTTCATGATACTAAGTTAAAGACACCTGCAGATATTGTAGACACAACCTCCCCCTTTACATTTCCTGCATAAGTTTTAACCCAATAGCCTGTTAGACAGTCTCATAATCTTACTTGATATCAGGAACTTCACATGATTTGGGACGTGCGTGAGGTGACGGTGGAGATAAACCTACTTGACGAGGTTCTTGTGGTTGCTTTGTAAGAAATAATAAGAATGAGATTATTTTTACATAACTTTAAATAAAGTACAATATGAACATATATAATAAATTCAAATGCAAGCTGCATTACATTAAAATTTGTTTTAATTATATTATAGTTAACTGCCACAAAGCATTCACTTGAGTTAATGTCAAAAATATGGTTTAGTTCTTCAAGACAAAGAAAAACAAGTTATTCCTTTTTTTCATAAATGATTTTACCCTGAACACTTTATTAATCTCACAATCTACACAAACATTGTGTAGTTTTTGTTTAAATTCTTTGGTAAGAGCAACACCTTCAAAGGTAATTTCTCATATCCGATAAGAAATTTCAATTATTAAGTTGTTGTTGTCTGTAGTTAAGTACAAAGCTACACAATTTGTTTTTCAGTAAGCATGAACCTAAGTCTAATTGTTTTTTTAACCATAAGCAGTATAAAAAAATTATCAATAATTTTTTATGTAATGTCACTGAAAGACTCTACCCAACTGATGTTTACTATAAATGCTGATATTTTTACCTTCACTCACAAGTTCTTCGAACTTCATTGATGAACTCAGTTTCAGAGACTTCTCATTAAGAGACAGGACTCAACACAGACTTTGAGTAATTATAAGTAATTAATATCAAAACGAATGTTAACAATAATAACTTTAAACCAAGTAAAAAAAAAATGTTTGAAATGCTATAATATCAGACACTTAGTGTACGTTAGAGATGATTCTTAGAAGTCAAAATATGGACCACTTTCTTAGGCTATATCTCTTTCTCTTTGGCTTAATAATAATAACAACAACAGAGAACCAGTTAATGACTCGGTAGGCAGACTAGAGATAGCCACAAAGTGGAGAAATGTTGTTTTTATAATTCATTTAATCTGTTATCAAGGTGAACTTTTATTAAATATCTTTTGTAAATTCTACATTCGTGTTAACATATTTGAATTTTTTGACATCAGAGATTTATTTTCCAGCATTAATCAGTAATCCATCTTTATGAGATGTTGGAAAGAAATGTCTGTAAATTCGTTTTTGATAGCTTGGTTTTATCAAAAATATTTTTACACTTAATATTTTGTTGAACCATGTAGAAGCACACTGAGATAAAAATAATGTAAACATAATTCAGTAGAGAAGAATCTCAGAATTCATTTTAGAGCACACTAATGCCCTCCAGTAAACAGTTCTTCAATATCCACCCCCTATTTTTTCTCATCATTTTCTAATTTTCTTATGCACTACTAAGTTAGGGAGTCATCCTATGTCCCCGTTTTGAATTATTCTCACATCTACCTGCCAAGAACCACTTTAGTGAAAAAGTAATCTATTACTGAAGTTAAACCAATAAAATATAACCTTTCGAAGCTGCCTCTAACTACCATTACTGCCATCATCAGTATTTCTTCCTCTTCAACTACCATTACTGCCATCATCAGTATTTCTTCCTCTTCAACTACCATTACTGCCATCATCAGTATTTCTTCCTCTTCAACTACCATTACCAAAGTAAACTCTTGCAAGAAGCCTGGTTGTAATCCATCAACCACAAATGTCGCTGCTGTTTTCAACATTTTGAGCCAATGATTGTTATCTCATTCACATTTATTTATTTTAGTTCTAGTTTCCACCACACAGGTTTTAGAAAACTTAGTACGAGTGTTAAAAAAAATTACTCAGAATAACAAGATAAACTGGTGAGACACAGAATTAAAATTTCAAATGTCCCCCCAATTCATTCAAGAATACAAGAACACGTGGCTTATCGAGCCTTGGCAACCATAAGGAGAAACTAAGTGCCTCATATCTGTGTCAGAAGTAATTATATTGAAACCACGCACAGTATATTAAATGTCAGCTGTGCTTGTACATTTTTTTTTAAGCTGTACATTGAAACTGTTACCATTATATAATTTATGTTATAATGATTACTTATGACAGTCATTAACCCTCATGTAGTACATGACATTACAGAGTCAAAGTATCTTGTAGAAATCTTTAATAAAGATAATACTAACAAAAGGTAACATTAAGGTTCGTAAAGCCAGTAGCAGTGCAATTCTTATTCATCCGAATGGAAATTAATGGCTTAAGGTATACATAACTCATTGCATAAGATTTCAAAGTTTTAGTTTGATACATTCTCAAATTGAACCCATTAAGCTTTTAATAACTTATGTGTAAGTTACACATTTGAGTTGCAGACAAAGCACATTCATGGCTAGTAAGTCTATAAACAGCTGATTAGTGTTGTACTTTTGTTAGAAAAACTTAGAATGCACTAGGAAAATCTGCTAGTACACATTTCAGATGAAATATTTACATCAGGTATCAATAAACTCATAAAAGATCAACCCATAAATATGGTTCTTTAAAGGCTGGAAACACCATAATAGTAGAGGTACCAAACTCATGAATTACTCTTTAACTAACCTATATTGTAAATTGTATTATAATACTCATTCATTTTCATTTCACCTCTTGTCACACTGTTTTGACTACACTCAGATCCACATTTATATACATATATTGATAGATATACTTATATATTCTTTATTTACTGTCATACTGCTTGAAGTTGAGTTATTTATAATGTGAAGAGCTCTGTAAACCCATTCTAATAAAACTGATAAATAAACTCATGAGTGTTGTTTATTTCTTCTGTACACAAGAGCCATCTGCACTAGTTGGCCTTAATTTTGAACTTATAGACTAGAAGAAAGGCAGCTAGTCAACAATACCAACTCTAATTGTGTACTGGGATTTTATCATAACTCTTATAACACACCCAAGTTAGAAGTGCTATTTTACAGCAATGGATCCTAATCTTGGACCCTAGTCTGGCACACTACCCACTAAAACATACCCAGGGTCATGTGTTCTCTATAAAAGTAGAAAAACAAAGAACTGTACCAGCTGAACATCTGGAAATAACATTAAAAAATGTACCAGCTGAACGTCTGGAAATAACATTAAAAACTGTACCAGTTGAACGTCTGGAAATAACATTAAAAACTGTACCAGTTGAACGTCTG